GCCTAAAGAGGAATACAAGGTGCCTTCTTTGTCAAAGAATGACTACTACAAGAAGCCATCAATTCCAGAACACAGCTACAAAAAAGTGTCATATGTTCCAAAGGTGCCTTCAGTGCCTAAAGAAGAATACAAGGTGCCTTCTTTGCCAAAGAATGAATACTACAAGAAGCCATCAATTCCAGAAGATAACTACAACAAGGTGTCATCTGTTCCAGAAGTACCCTCAATGCCTAAACCAGAATACAAGGTGCCTTCTCTGCCAAAAAATGACTACTTCAAGAAACCAACACCTTCTCCATCACCACCACCTCCTTACTACCATGAATCATCTTCAACACCTTCTCCATCACCACCTCCTCCATATTATTAAATCTTCATTTTTCACGTTCAACATGTTTCAAGCAAGTCCTTCTCACGCTCAACATATATGAGTTAGAAAGGCATGTTATCAAAATTTGTAATTCTTTATTTGTATTTTGAATATTTCCAGAGGATTGTTTATTTCAATTGAATACAAGTTCTTTTTATTAAGAGTTTATGTTGTTTTCATCTATTCTTCCAGCAATTGCCAATTTGTTCAGTTACTAGTAATAACAAAACTTTGGAACATAATAACCATCAGATACTTTAAAAAAAAAGGGTACTAAGGATTGGGTGATATCATGAGACAAGAGTAAGTAGGGTGCATTTCCAAATATATTACTCAAAAGAATTGACACAATTTATCTTATCTTTTAGAATTGGAAAGAACAAGAAAAACAGTCTCTATTGTTATAAACATACAATTCATGAGAGATAAAGAAATAAATCGAACCAAATAGTGAATTGTTTTAATCAAATAAAGAGAAATTGGGAGATAAATGTTACACTATTTATGATAAAATGTGCATTTGATCTATATATATTGCAGAAGTTTTGAGCTCAAAGTATGAAACTTTTTAAATCCAGAACTTCTAAAATAATATTTTGAGAAATTTTAAAAAATAATTTGATTGACTCGATTATCTTTTTGGTAGGATTCGATCCTATGGAATGAAATAATCTCTCATAGAGCAGTTGTTTCCTAGAAATAGACCATACACGACTTGAATTTGGATTAATCTGAGTCAATAAGTTCCAAATAACAGACGTTTAACTTAGTCAACCCAAAAACATTAAATATATGACGTTAAAAACAATAATAGCTTCTAATTTTTCCAGATATATTACTCAAAAGAATCGACACAATTCATCTCATAAATTAGAATTGGAAAAATGAAGAAAAACGGTCTCTATTGTTATAAACATAAAATTCTTGGTATATAAAGAAATAAAGTGAACTAAGTAGTGAATCGTTTTAATCAGATAAAGAGAAATCGGGAGATAAATGATACACTATTTATGATAAAATGTGCATTTGATCTTATATTGCAGAAGTTTTGAGCTCAAAGTATGAAACTTTTTAAATCCAGAACTTCTAAAATAATATTTAGAGAAGTTTTAAAAAATAATTTGATTGATTCAATTATCTTTTTGGTAGGGTTCGATCCTATGAAATGAAATAATCTCTCATAGAGCACTTTTTTCCTAGAAATAGACCATACACAACACAAATTTAAATTAATCTAAGTCATAAGTTTCAAAATAACAGACCCTTAACTAAGCCAACCCAAAAACACTAAATGTGTGACGTTAAAAACAATAGTTTTTATTTTTTCCTAGTTGTATCAAGAATTAATCAAACCTAAAATATTGTCACTCTTGATAATGAAAAGTATGTATGGTACTCGCAAGGGTAACAGAGGCTAGAGATCGATTTCTTCTTCCAAAGCTTTTTCACTTGATTTGTCACATCGGGCTCGTCTAGAACAGTTTACATCTCATGTATTATTGGCAAGATATTACATATAATCGATTTATCTAATGTGCATCCGAACAGTAGCAACTGTGAATTTCTCAGGAAATTTCCAAAAAAAATAATTATGGTCATGATGTGGATTATAAGTCAAGTACATATAACGAATGGACACAAAATAATAAACAATATTTGTTAGGCCTACACATATCTCAACTTTTAAAAACTAATTTAATCAAATTTTTAATATGCCAACAAAAACACGAGAACAAAATTCTTAAAATTCAATAAAAAAAATTGGATTTAAATATTGAAAAATAGGCAAGTCCAGCAACTGTGTATGAATTGTTCATGGCTTCCCATTATCCCATAACCTTAATTAGTGGAGGAGCATTAACCAAAAAAAGGGAAAATCACCTTCTTAGTTATGTTATATAAACTCTTAACTCCTCCATTCTAAAACACACAAGAAAAAGAAAAACAAACCAATATCTAGCCTAAGAATCCAATTCTTCTCAATGGGAAGCCAAATGAAGAAGCAATTTGCTTGTGCTTTGGCATTTTTCTTGATTGCCACATGCACTATGGCATATTCACCATATTCTTATGAATCCTCAGATTCAACCTACCATAAAGTACCAACCACAGTAGTCAAAAGTGAAGATTTCAAGGCACCCTCAGAGTCGGAAAAGGAATATAAGGAGTCATTTTTGCCAAAAAATATTACTACAAGAAGCCATTAGTTTCAGAAGATAACTATAGGAAAGTACCGTCCATTCCCGAACAGGAATACAAGGTTCCATTCTTGCCAAAGAATGACTACAACAAGAAGCCATCATTTTCAGAAGAAAACTACAAGAAGACTCTACAAGAAGGCGTCATATGTTCCAAAGGTACCCTCGATGACTAAACCAGAATATAAGGAGTCCTTTTTTCCAAAATTTGACTACTTCAAGAATCCATCAGTTCCAGAAAATAACTACAAGAAGGCGTCATATGTTCCAAAGGTACCCTCGATGACTAAACCAGAATATAAGGAGTCCTTTTTTCCAAAATTTGACTACTTCAAGAAACCATCCATCCCAGAAGATAACTACAAGAAGATGTCATATGTTTCAAAAGTATCCACAGTGCCTAAATCGGAATACAAGGTACCATCTTTGACAAAGAATGACTACTACAAGAAGCCATCGGTTTCAGAAGACAACTACAAGAAGCAGTCGTATGTTCCCAAGGAACCCTCGATGGCTAAACCAGAATATAAAGAGTCATTCTTACCAAAATTTGACTACTTTAAGAAGCCATCTGTTTCAGAAGATAGCTACAAAAAAGTACCATATGTTTCAAAGGTGCCCTCAGTTCCTAAAGAAGAATACAAAGTGCCTTCTTTGTCAAAAATGATTACTACAAGAAGCCATCAGTTCCAGAAGATAACTATGAAAAGGTGCCATATGTTCCAAAGCTACCCTCAGTGCCTAAAGAAGAATACAAGGTGCCTTCTTTGTCAAAGAATGACTATTACAAGAAGCCATCAATTCCAGAAGACAACTACAAAAAAGTGTCTTATGTTCCAAAGGTGCCTTCAGTGCCTAAAGAAGAATACAAGGTGCCTTCTTTGCCAAAGAATGAATACTACAAGAAGCCATCAATTCTAGAAGATAACTACAAGAAGGTGTCATCTGTTCCAGAAGTACCCTCAATGTCTAAACCTGAATACAAGGTGCCGTCTCTGCCAAAAAATGACTACTTCAAGAAACCAACACCTTCTCCATCACCACCACCTCCTTACTACCATGAATCATCTTCAACACCTTCTCCATCACCACCTCCTCCATATTATTAAATCTTCATTTTTCAAGTTCAACATGTTTCAAGGAAGTCCTTCTCACGCTCAACATATATGAGTTAGAAGGCATGTTATCAAAATTTGTAATTCTTTATTTGTATTTTGAATATTTCCAGAGGATTGTTTATTTCAATTGAATACAAGTTCTTTTTATTAAGATTTTGTGTTGTTTTCATCTATTCTTCCATCAATCGCCAATTTGTTCACTTACTATTAATAACAAAACTTTGGAACATAACAACCATCAGATACTTAAAAATTTAGGTTACTAAGGATTGGAAAGAAGAAGAAAAACGATCTCTATTGTTATAAACATACAATTCTTGAGAACTAGGTAGTGAATCATTTTAATTAAATAAAGAGAAAGTGGGAGATAAATGTTACACCATTTATGATAAAATGTGCATTTGATCTATATAGCAGAAGTTTTGAGCTCAAAATATGAAACTTTTTAAATCCAGAACTTCTAAAATAAAACTTTGAGAAATTTTAAAGATAATATTATTGACTCAATTATCTTTTTGGTAGGATTTGATCCTATATGGAATGAAATAATCTCTCATAGAGCAGTTGTTTCCTAGAAAAAGATCATACACCACGTGAATTTGCATTAATCTAAGTCAATAAGTTCCAAATAATAGACAATTAACTAAGCCGACCCAAAAACATTAAATATATGACGTTAAAAACAATAATAGCTTCTAATTTTTCCTCTTTGTATCAAGAACTAATCAAATCCAAAATTCTTGATAATGAAAAGCATGTATGGTACTCGCAAGGGTAAGAGAGTCCAGAGATCGATTTCTTCTGCCAAAGCTTTTTCACTTAATTTGTCACATCGGTCTCGCCTAAAGCAGTTTACATTTCCCGTATGATTTGCAAGATGTAGCCGAACAGTAGCAACTATGAATTTCTTAGGAAATTTCCAAACAAAAATAAATAAATATGCTGTCATGGATTATAAATCGTGCTAAACAAGTACATATAACTAATGGACACCAAATAATAAACAATATTTGTTAGGCCAACACATATCTCAACTTTTAAAAACTAATTTAATCAAATTTTTAATATGCCAACAAAAACACAAGAACAACATTCTTAAAATTCAATAAAAAAATTGGATTTAAATGTTGATAATAGGTAAGTCCAGCAACTGTGTATGAATTGTTCATGGCATCCCATTATCTCATAACCATAATTAGTGGAAGAGCATTAACAAAAAAAATGGGAAAATCAACTTCTTAGTTATGTTATATAAACTCTTAATTCCTCCATTCTAAAACACACAAGAAAAATAAAAACAAACCAATATATAACCTTAGAATCCAATTCTTCTCAATGGGAAGCCAAATGAAGAAGCAATTTGCTTGTGCTTTGGCCTTTTTCTTGATTGCCACATGCACTACGGCATATTCACCTTATTCTTATGGATCATCAGATTCAACATACAGTAAAGTACCAACCACAGTAGTCAAAACTGAAGACATCAAGTCACCCTCAAAGTCAGAAAAGGAATATAAGGAGTCATTTTTGCCAAAAAATGATTACTACAAGAAGCCATTAGTTTCAGAAGATAACTATAAGAAAGTACCATTTGTTTCCGAACAGGAATACAAGGTTCCATTATTGCCAAAGAATGACTACAACAAGAAGCCATCATATTCAGAAGATAACTACAATAAGGTGTCATATGTTCCAGAGGTACCCTCGATGGATAAACCAGCATATAAGGAGTCATTTTTTCCAAAATTTGACTACTTCAAGAAGCCATCAGTTCCAGAAGATAACTACAAGAAGGCGTCAGATGTTCCAAAGGTACCCTCGATGGCTAAACCAGAATATAAAGAGTCATTTTTTCCAAAATTTGACTACTTCAAGAAGCCATCGATTTCGAAAGATAACTACAAGAAGGCGTCAGATGTTCCAGAGGTACCCTCGATGGCTAAACCAGAATATAAAGAGTCATTTTTTCCAAAATTTGACTACTTCAAGAAGCCATCAGTTCCAGAAGATAACTACAAGAAGGCATCATATGTTCCAGAGATACCTTCAATGGCTAAACCAGAATATAAGGAGTCATATTTGCCAAAATTTGACTACTTTAAGAAGCCATCAGTTTCAAAAGATAGCTACAAGAAGGTATCATATGTTCCAAAGGTGCCCTCAGTGCCTAAAGAAGAATACGAGGTGTCTTCTTTGCCCAAGAATGACTATTACAAGAAGCCATCAATTTCAGAAGATAACTACAAGAAGGTGTCACATGTTCCAAAAGCACCCTTAGTGCCTAAACCAGAATACAAGGTGCCATCTTTGTCAAAGAACGATAATTACAAGAAGTCAACCGTTCCAGAAGATAGCTACAAGAAGGTGTCATATGTTCCAGAGGTACCCTCATTTGCTAAACCTGAATACAAGGTGCCTTCTTTGTCAAAGAATGATTACTACAAGAAGTCATCAGTTCATGAAGATAACTACAAGAAGGTGTCATATGTCCCAGAGGTACCCTCAGTTGCTAAGCCTGATTACAAGGTGCCTTCTTTGCCAAAAAATGACTACTACAAGAAGCCATTACCTTCTCCATCACCACCACCTCCATATTATTAAATTTTCATCTTTCATGTTGAACATGTAGGTTTCATTCAAGTCCTTCTCCAGCTCAACATATATAACCCATAGGGTTCTCATATTATGAGTTAAAAGGCATGATATCAAAATTTGTAATTCTTTATTTATTTATTTTCTTTTCCTACTTCGGATTGTAATTGTTTTGTCATTTAAATTATATTATGAATGTTTTCAGAGATTTATTTCAATTGAATACAAATTCTTTTTATTGGAAGTTTATGAATTCATCTGGATTAGTCAAGCTTCAATATTACAGATATCGAACACTAGAATATGAGAAATCAACCATAAGAAAAGGTACATAGATTAATTCATCTATTTTTCTAGCAATTATTAATTTCTTTACATAAATTAATAGCAAAACACTGGAACATAACAACCATATTCAGAAACTTCAAAATACATATTCAAGCTTACCAAAACAACAAATAAAATTAGAGAAAATAATAAAGTTGGATGAAAGATGCAAAAAATATTTTTTATTAGTGTCATTGAGTAATTACTTTATCCAATATGCAGTTACTCAACTAATAGTTATTAGCTCAAAAATCACTTTTTTTGTTGAAGAAAGTTGGAATCAAGAAAAAATATGACTTTCTTAGATAATCACTATTAATTCAATTGCCATATGAGAAATCAACCCGTAAAAATGTCTTTTTTGGCCTATTTTGTATTAAATTAAAGTTACATAATTTCCAGTCATGGATTTTTTTATCAGATAAAGAGAAGTCGGGGCGGGGATAAATGTTAAAATATTTCACTACTCACGATAAATTGTTATGTACGGATGATGAAATATAAGAATCGACGATTTAATATATGATAATACTGGAAATAAATAGCTTCCATCGAATCCAAAATATTTTGTCAATATAAGTCGTGCTCAAAGCATCAAAACTTGTGGACCCAACTAATTTTGATCATGACATCAAATAATGAACAATATTTGTTAGGCATATATATAATACATATTTCAATTTTAAAATTTTATTTAATCAAATTATCAATGTACCAACAAAAAAGATATAGAACAACATTAGTGGAATAGTCAATAAAAGTTTGGACTTAATTTTTAAAAATAAGTGAGTTAATCAAATGTGTATAAATTGTTCATGGCTACCCATTATCTCAAGACCTTAGTGGAACAGCATTAACCAAAAAATGAGAAAATCAAAAATATGTTTGGATTAATTTGATAGCATCCAAATCATCTAATCATCTTTTTAGTTAAGCTATATAAACTCCTAGTTCCTCCATCCTAAAACACACAACAAAAAAGAAAAAACAAATAGCCATCTAGCCTTATTAAGAATCCAAATTTTCTCAATGGGAAGCCAAATGAAGAAGCAATTTGCTTGTGCTTTGGCATTTTTCTTGATTGCTACATGCACTATGGCATATTCACCATATTCTTATGAATCATCAGATTCAACATACAATAAAGGACCAACCACAGTAGTCAAAAGTGAAAATCTCAAGGCACCCTCAGTGCCTGAAAATGAATATAAGACATCAATTTTGCCGAAGAATGACTACATCAAGAAGTCATCAGTTTCAGAAGATAACTATAAGAAAGTACCAACAGTTCCTGAACAGGAATACAAGGTGCCCTCAATGCCTAAACAAGAATACGAGTTGCCATCTTTGCCTAAGAACGACTACTTCAAGAAGCCATCAATTCCAAAAGATAACTACAAGAAGGTGTCATACGTTCCAGAGGCAGAATACAAGGAGTCATTTTTGCCAAAATTTGACTTCTTTAAGAAGCCATCAGTTTCAGAAGAAAGCTACAAAAAGGTGTCATATGTTCCAAAGGTTGCCTCAGTGCCTAAAGAAGAATACAAGGTGTCTTCTTTTCCAAAGAATGACTACTTTGAGAAGCCATCAGTTCCAGAAGACAACTACAAGAAGTCGCCATATGTTTCAGAGGTACCCTCGATGGCTAAACCAGAATATAAGGAGTCAAATGACTACTTTAAGAAGCCATCAGTTCCAGAAGACAACTACAAGAAGACGTCATATGCTCCAGAGGTACCATCGATGGCTAAGCCAGAATATAAGGAGTCATTTTTGCCAAAATTTGACTACTTTAAGAAGTCATCAGTTCCAGAAGACAACTACAATAAGAAGGAGTCATATGCTCCAAAGGTACCCTCGGTGCCTAAAGAAGAATACAAGGTGTCTTCTTTGTCAAAGACTGACTACTACAAGAAGCCACTAGTTCCAGAAGATAACTACAAGAAGGTGTCATATGTTCCAAAGGTGCCCTCAGTGCCTAAGGAAGAATACAAGGTGCCTGTTTTGCCTAAGAATGACTACTACAAGAAGCCATCTATTCCAGAAGATAACTACAAACAGGTGCCCTCAGTAGCTAAATCAGAATATAAGGTGCCGTCTTTGCCAAAAAGTGACTACTTCAAGAAACCATCACCTTCTCCATCACCACCACCTCCGTATTATTAAATTTCCATCTTTCATGTTCAACATGCATTGTTTCATTTAAGTCCTTCTCCAGCTCAACATATATAGCCCATAGGGTTATCATATTTTGAGTTAGAAGGCATGATATCAAAATTTGTAATTCTTTATTTGATTTTTTTTTTCTCTTCCTATTTCGGATTGTAGTTGTATTGTCATTTAAATCCTAGAGATTTATTTCAATTGAATACAATTTCTTTTTATTGAATGTTTATACATATAGATTCATCTTTTCTTCCAGCAATTGCCATTTAATTTCTTCACATAAATTTAATCAGTGAGGATTTCGTGATTCCATGTTACCAAAACAACAAGCAAAAGAAAGAAAATAATAATTGTTGCAAGTGTCATTATATTGAGTTACATTATACTTTCAAAAATGCTCTCCCTTTTTAATTTTTTTTGGGCACATTTGATTTAAATTACACAATTGCCAGCCGTAAATCATTTTGATCAGATAAAAGATATTAAATATTTTTAGCTGTTTTAGATTACTACTTAATATATAAAGGGCCCATATATAAAAGCATTTAACGGCGGTTAGGTGAATTAAGCGGTGATTATCTAAATACCAATAGTTAAACCAAAACATAAAATTAATATAGGGTTGTTCATGGTTATGGTTAAAAAACCAAATTGAACCACAATCCGAACTAAACCGATTAAAAAACCGATATTTGGTTTGATTTAATTAGGTTTGGTTTTAAATTTTGAAAAATCGATACTATTTGGTTTGGTTTTGATTTTTACTAAAAAATAACTGCAAAAATAACCAAACCGAACCGATAAATTATATATATAAATTTTATAATTATTTATATATTATTCATAAATAAAATATAAATATTTTGTTAAATTTTAAGTAACTTAAGTCTTTAACTTTACTAATTTCTCAAGTCCAACACTTAAAATTTTAGCCCATCTATTACAATCATAAGTCCAAGTCCATCAAAATTCATTACTTTAGTCTTTACCTACCATACCTTTCATAAGATAGTTACACCTTCTCTTAATTGAATCACTTTGTTCGTGTAATGATAACTTGAGTATTGTTTAATTGCTAAATTGAACCAACAATAGTTTTTCAGTGGATTGTTCATGTACTAGGTGTTTGTGTCTATCAAGATACGTATGTCCTCAAAAATCTATTATATTCAAACTGAAAAAACCAGAAAAACTGAACCAAACCGTCAATAACCAAACCGACGGTTATTTTTTTGTTTGGTTTGGTTTTAGATATTTAAAAAACCGACTAGGTTGGTTTGATTTTGATTTTACCCAATAACCGATCCAAACCGAATCACGAACACCCCTAATTATTAATACGTGAATTTAGCGGTTGTTTATGTGCATTTAACGACAACAGTTTATGGGAATTTGGTGTCATTTAGGTGAGTGCAACAAGAATTTTGATGAATTTAGTGACGATTAAGGTGAATTTACTAGCGATTTAGGGGAATAATTTAGCAATGGTTTATCTAAATACGAAATAGTTAAACTAAACATATAATTAATTATATGATCTTTATTAGAAATGATAATTTCCAATATATTGTCATTCTTGGTGTTGTACAGCATGTATAAGGTATGGTCCCATGATGTGAATTTTAAGTCGTGCTCAAAGTATCAATCAAATACATATAACTTTTCACTCAACATAATGAATAATATTTGTTAGGCCAACAGCATATATATTTCAACTTTAAAAATTCTATCCAAGTCAAATTTTCAACGTACCAAAATAATAATAATAATAAATAAGAAGAACAACATTCTTGGAAGTCGATTGGACTTAATTTTCAATGAACCAACAAAAATTGTTCATGGCTTCCCATGACCTTAGTGGCACAGCATTAACCAAAAAAATTGGAAAATCTCTGATTTGTTTGGATTAATTTGAGAGCATCCAAATCACCTTAAGCTATATAAACTCCTAATTCCTCCATTCTAAAACACACAAGAAAAAGAAAAATATAACCATCTAGCCTTAAAATACAAATCTTCTCAATGGGAAGTCAAATGGAGAAGCAATTTGCTTGTGCTTTGGCATTTTTCTTGATTGCCACATGCACTATGGCATATTCACCTTATTCTTATGATTCAACAGATTCAACATACAATAAAATACCAACCACAGTAGCTAAAAGTGAAGATTACAAGTTACCCTTAGTGCCTAAAGAGGAATACAAGGTGTCTTCTTTGCCAGAGAATGACTTCTACAAGAAGTTATCAGTTCCAAAAGACAACTATAATAAGAAGGTGCCATCAATTTCAAAAGATAACGACTACAAGGAACCCTCAATGCCTAAAGAGGAATACAAAATGCCTTCTTTACCAAAGAATGACTACAAGAAACCATCACTTCAAGAAGATAACTACAAGAAGGTGCCAACTGTTTCAGAGCTACCTTCAGTGCCTAAACCAGAATACAAGGTGCCGTCTTTGCCAAAAAATGACCACTACAAGAAAACATCAGTTCCAGAAGATAACTACAAGAAGCTGCCATTTGTTTCAGAGGTACACTCAGTTCCTAAAGAGGAATACAAGATGCCTTCTTTACCAAAGAATAACTACAAGAAACCATCAGTTCAAGAAGATAACTACAAGAAGGTACCAACTGTTCCAGAGATACCCTCAGTGCCTAAACCAGACTACAAGGTGTCGTCTTTGCCAAAAACTGACCACTACAAGAAAACATCAGTTCCAGAAGATAACTACAAGAAGGTGTCATTTGTTTCAGAGGTACCCTCAGTGCCTAAAGAGGAATACAAGATGCCTTCTTTACCAAAGAATAACTACAAGAAACCATCGGTTCAAGAAGATAACTACAAGAAGGTGCCAACTGTTCCAGAGGTACCCTCAGTGCCTAAAGAGGAATACAAGATGCCTTCTTTACCAAAGAATAACTACAAGAAACCATCGGTTCAAGAAGATAACTACAAGAAGGTGCCAACTGTTCCAGAGGTATCCTCAGTGGCTAAACCAGAATACAAGGTGCCGTCTTTGCCAAAAAATGACTACTACAAGAAAACATCAGTTCCAAAAGATAACTACAAGAAGGTGTCATCTGTTTCAGAGGCACCCTTAGTGCCTAAACAGGAATACAAAGTGCCTTATTTGTTAAAGAATGACTACTACAAGAAGCCATCAATTCCAGAAGATAACTATAGGAAGGTGTCATATGTTCCGGTACCCTCAGTGCCTAAACATGAATACAAAGTGCCTTCTTTGCCAAAGAATGACTATTACAAAAAGCCATCAGTTCCAGAAGATAACTACAAGAAGGTGCCATCTGTTCTAGAGGTACCCTCGGTGCCTAAACAGGAATATAAAGTGTTTTCTTTGCCTAAGAATGACTATTACAAGAAGTCATTTGTTCCAGAAGATAACTATAAGAAGGTGCCATCAGTTTCAACAGATAATGACTACAAGGTACCATCAGTACCTAAACAAGAATACAAGATGTCTTCTTTGCCAAAGAATGACTACAAAAAACCATCAATTCCAGAAGATAACTACAAGAAGGTGCCAACTGTTTCAGAGATACCCTTAGTGCCTAAACCAAAATACGAGATGCCGTCTTTCCCAAAAACGGACTACTTCAAGAAACCATCACCTTCTCCATCACCACCACCTCCATATTACTAAATTTTCATCTCTCATGTTCAACATGTTTCAATGAAGTCCTTCTCCAGCTCAACATATATAACCCATAGGGTTCTCATATTAAGAGTTCGAAGGCATGATATCAATGCCTATCAAAATTTGTAATTCTTTATTCGTTTTCTTTTTCTTTTCTTTCCTACTTTGAGTTGCAATTGTTTTTTCATTTAAATTATATTTCGAATGTATCCAGAGATTTATGTCAACTGAATACAAGTTTTTTTAATTTTATTGAAAGATTATATCTATAGATTCCCAATTCTTGCAGCAATTGTCAATTAATTTCTCATAAATTTAATAGCAAAATAACAGCCATCACTGAGGATTTGGTGATTCTAATACCAAGAGTAGAGTGGCCGGCATTTCATGTTACCAAAACAACAAGCAAAATAAAGAAAGAAAATTCAATATTTGTAAGTGTCATTGAGTTACATTATACAGTATAAAAATAGGAAAAATGACCTAAATACGTAACTTATTTTACTATATTCTCTAAAATTTTCTATCATTTGAAAACATTACAAAAGTTCCTACTCTCTCCTATTCTCGTATACATCACTCTACACGATGTATCGGTCGGATACATCACTCTACGCGATATATCAAGACATTGAGTGATGTATCCGAAATCGAGACGCTATGTATCGAGACGTTAAGGGATGTATCCGAACCGGTACGCGATGTATCAGAACGTTTTGATATGTATACGGATTCCACCAAATTTAAGAATTTTTGTAATTTGAAAAAGAGTAGAGATAAAGATGTAATTAGCTCTTATCAGAGATTTTGTTAAATTTCCATAAAAATGCCCTTCCTTTTAAATTTTTTTGGGCTCATTTGATTTATTACAGCATTGTCAGTTGTAAATCATTTTGATCTGATAACATATTAATAATTTTTTTAGCTTTGGTTTAGATTTCTACTTCAAATATAAAAGCATTTAACGGCGGTTAATAGGTGAATATTAGCGGCGATTAAGGTGAATTTACTAACAGTTTAAATGAATTTAGCCATGGTTTATCTAAATACCAGATAGTAAACCAAACATAAAATTAAATAAATGATATTTGAAATAATAGCTTCCAATATATTATCATTCTTGGTGAGGCAAAGTATGTATAATGATGAGAAGTTTAAGTCGTGCTCAAAGAATCAAAAGTACATATAACAAATGGACAAATATTTATTATTAGGCCAACAACATATATATTATTTAATCAAATATCCAATGTACCAACAAAAGGGAACAAGAACAACATTCTTGGAAGTCAATAAAAGATTGGAATTAATTTTTAAAAAATAAGTAAGTCGATATTGTTCATGGCTTTCCATTATATATCTCAAGACCTTAGTGGAATAGCATTAACCAAAAAAATGGGAAAATCTTTGATATGTTTGGACTATTTGGTAGCATTCAAATCATCAAGTCACTAGTTGAGCTATATAAACTCCTATTTCCTCCATTCAAGAATACACAAGAAAAACAAAAACATAACAACTATCTAGCCTTAATTAGAATTCAAATATTCTGGATGGGTAGCCAAATGAAGAAGCAGTGGCCTCAATTTGCTTGTGCTTTGACATTTTTCTTGATTGCCACTTCTACTATGGCATACTCACCTTATTCTTATGAATCAACGGATACAACATACAATAAAGTACCTACTACAGTAGCCAAAAGTGAGGAATTCAAGGTACCCTCAGTGCCAAAGAATGATTACTACAAGAAGCCATTAGTTTCAGAAGATAACTACAAGAAAGTACCCTCAGTTCCTAAACAGGAATACAAGGTGCCCTCTGTGCCTAAACATGAATATAAGGTGTCATCTTTGCCAAAGAATGATTACTACAAGAAGTCATCAAGTCCGGAAGATAACTACAAGAAGGTGTCATCTGTTCCAAAGGTACCCTCAGCACCTAAACAGGAATACAAGGTGCCTTCTTTGCCAAAGAATGACTATTACAAGAAACCATCAGTTCCAGAAGATAACTACAAGAAGGTGTCATCTGTTTCAGAGGTACCCTCAGTACCTAAACCAGAATATAAGGTGTCATTTTTGCCAAAGGATGACTATTACAAGAAACCATCAGTTTCAAAAGATAACTACAAGAAGGTGTCATTTGTTTTAGAGGTACCCTCAGCACCTAAACAGGAATACAAGGTGCCTTCTTTTCCAAAGAATGACTACAAAAAATCATCAGTTCAAGAAGATAACTACAAGAAGGTGTCATCTGTTCCAGAGGTACCCTCAGTACCTAAACAAGAATACAAGATGCCTTCTTTGCCAAAGAATGACTATTACAAGAAACCATCAGTTCCAGAAGATAACTACAAGAAGGTGTCATCTGTTCCAGAGGAACCCTCAGTACCTAAACCAGAATACAAGGTGCCTTCTTTGCCAAAAAATGACTATTATAAGAAACCATCAGTTCCAGAAGATAACTACAAGAAGGTGTCATTTGTTCCAGAGGTACCCTCAGTACCTAAACAAGAATACAAGGTGTCTTCTTTGCCAAAGAATGACTATTACAAGAAACCAGCTCCAGAAGATAACTACAAGAAGGTCCCATCTATTCCAGAGGTACCCTTAGTGCCTAAATCAGAATACAAGGTGCCTTCTTTTCCAAAAAATGACTACTTCAAGAAACCATCACCTTCTCCATCACCACCTCCTCCTTACTACCATGAATCATCTTCAACTCCTTCCCCATCACCACCACCTCCATATTATTAAATTTTCATCTTTCACATGTTCAACATATTTCAAGGAAATCCGTCTTCAGGTGAACCTACATAACCAAAATGGTTCTCATATTATGAGTTGAACGCATTCGTAATCTTTATTTGTTTTTTTTTTCTTTTTCCTACCTTAACTTGGGTTGCAATTGTCTTGTCATTTCATTAACTTTTATTGTATTTTGTATGTTTCCACATAATTGTTCAATTGAATATTATGAGTTCAAAGGCATGATATCAAAGCTCTTTTTTTATTGAGAATTTATGTAGTTTCATCTATTCCTCCAGCAATTGTGAATTTGTTCACTTACTATATTAATAGCAGAACAATGAAATATACAATTTATGGGAGATAAGAAAAGAAAGTGAACCAAATATTGAATCATTTTAATAAGGGAGACAAAATATAATGTTACACTACTTACTATAAAATGCTATGGATTTAATTAATTTCTGCAACCCCTTCATATAATAAAGCAATATTTAGTGGCAATTTAAGTGCATTAGCGATTAATTGGATTACCACCTTGCGATATTAAAATTTTAGAGGCAATTATTGGTGCATTTTATGGTTATTTAGCGGTGGTTTACATGTGTTTCGCGGTGGTGTAGGTGAATTAATTAGTGGTAATTATTATTTTAATAAATAAATTATTATTTTAATTGATTTCTCCTACAATAGTCGACCATTTTGGCATTTTAATGGTCAAGTTTGGTTTTATATATTTCAACTACTCAAAAATAGAATTTTTAAAAACTATATGATATACATTTTTTAAAACCGGAACTTTTAAAATATTATGAGGAAAAATAAAAAATAATCTTTAAGAAAAATTGATTGACTCAAAACTTGATGTAAGTAAGGTTTGATCCCGGGAAATAGATTAATCTCTCGTAGGGAACTTCTTCCCCTTAAAATGAATCATACATGATGGAAGTTTAGATTAATCTGAATCAATAAATTCCGAATAACAAAAATTATTAAACCAAATAAAAAAATTTAATATTTATGACATTGGAAACAATAACTTCCAATTTTTCATATTTGTATCAAAACCTAATCAAACGCAAAATAATATTGTATGGTTAATGGTCCCATGATGTGAATTATAAGTCTTGCTCAAAGCATCTAAACTACATAAAACTAATGGACGATATTTGTTAGGCCGACACACATCAACTCTCAAAATTTTATTTAATCAAATTTTCATTGTACCAATAAAAAATAAAACAAGAACAACATTCTTGGAAGTTATAAAAGTTTGGATTTAAATTATTAAATAGAGAAAAATTGTACTAATTGTTCATGGCTTCCCATTATCTCAACACCTTAGTGGAATAAAATTAACCAAAAAAATGGAAAAATCTTATTTGAGAGAATCCAAACAACAACAACAAGTCAACATCTTAGTTAAGCTATATAAACACCTAGTTCCTCATATTTAAAACACAAGAAAAAAAAAATATAACCATCTAACCTTAAAATACAAATCTTCTAAATGGGAAGCCAAATGAAGAAGCAATGGCCTCAATTTGCTTGTGCTTTGGCATTTTTCTTGATTGCCACATGCACTATGGAATATTCACCTTATTCTTATGAATCATCAGAGTCAACATACAATAAAGTATCAAGCACACCGGAAAAGGAAGATGAGGTGCCATCTTTACCGAAGAATGATTACTACAAGAAGCCAATAGTTCCAGAACATAACTACAAGAAAGTACCCTCAATTCCTGAACAGGAATACAAGGTGCCCTAAATGCCTAAACAGGAATACGAGTTTCCATCTTTGCCTAAGAACGATTATGGCAAGAAGCCATCAATTCCACAAAATAACTACAAAAAGATGTCATATTTTCCAAAGGTTCCCTCAGTGCCTAAAGAGGAATACAAGGTGCCTTTTATACCAAAGAATGACTACTACAAGAAACCATCAATTCCAGAAGATAACTACAAGAAGCCAAGAAGGTATCATTTGTTCCAGAGGTACCCTCTGAGCCTAAACCAGAATACAAGGTGTCGTCTTTGCCAAAAAATGACTACTTTAAGAAATCATCAGTTCCAGAAGATAACTACAACAAGGTGTCATTTGTTCCAGAGGTACCCTCTGAGCCTAAACCAGAATACAAGGTGTCGTCTTTGCCAAAAAATGACTACTTTAAGAAATCATCAGTTCCAGAAGATAACTACAACAAGGTGTCATTTGTTCCAGAGGTACCCTCTGAGCCTAAACCAGAATACAAGGTGTCGTCTTTGCCAAAAAATGACTACTTTAAGAAATCATCAGTTCCAGAAGATAACTACAACAAGGTGTCATTTGTTCCAGAGGTACCCTTAGTACCTAAACAGGAAAAAAGGTGTCTTCTTTACCAAAGAATGACTACTACAAAAAGCCTTCAGTTCTAGAAGATAATTACAAGAAGGTGTCATCTATTCCAGAGGTACCCTCTGAGCCTAAACCAGAATACAAGGTGTCATCTTTGCCAAAAAATGACTACTTTAAGAAACCATCAGTTCCAGAAGATAACTACAACAAGGTGTCATTTGTTCCAGAGGTACCCTTAGTACCTAAATAGGAAAACAAGGTGTCTTCTTTACCTAAGAATGACTACTACAAAAATCCATCAGTTCCAAAAGATAACTACAAGAAGATGTCATCTGTTCCAGAGGTACCCTCAGTGCCTAAACCAGCATACAAGGTGTCGTCTTTCCCAAAAAATGACTACTTCAAGAAACCATCACCCTCTCCATCACCGCCACCTCCATATTATTAAATTTTCATCTTTCATGCTCAACATGTTTCAATGAAGTCATTCCCCAACTCAACATATATAACCAAATTGGTTCTCATAGTTGAAGGCATGGCATCTAAATTTGCATTTCTTTATTCGTTGTTAATTTTTTTCATTTGCAATTGTTTTGTCATTTAAACAGTATTTTGAAAGTTTCTAGAGAATTGTTTCAATTGAATACACCATGTTCTTTTCATTGAGAGTTTATGTGTTTTCAATTAAATAGGATGATTAATAAAAATCTTGTATCAACACAACTATTAATTGATGACCACATCAGGAGTCAAAAAGAATAAAATCAATATTTATTATCAAAGTAACTGAATTTAATGCTATAACATCTACACACTCACAAGCCAATATATAAAATTATACTATATGATACTTTAAATTAAAAGTATATATATGACATGGGAATTAAATGCATATAACTAACATTTGAATGCATTAACTAACAATTCCTAAACTTTATCCTATTACCAATAGAGAGAAGCAAAAACCCACAAGAAAAATAATCTTAAAATAGTACTATAGATATATACTTTTTAATCTGTCTATTATTTTTGGTGATAAAAGCATTTATTATATGGTCCCGTGATGTGATGAATTATAAACCATAAAAGCAACAAGTACATGTAATGGACCCAACTTTCCAACTCAACTGATTATGACATCAATAATAGAGACATCATTCAAAGGTACATCTCTAATGTATAATGTCGATTCAATTGAATTTGGTATTTTTTTTAGGATATATATAGGTAGGTGCGTACACATATAATATGGATAAAAAATTATTAAAATCTCATTTTCTTTTGTAATAATAGCAGCTGTTCAGGTCAACTTGTCCATATGATTCAATCAGGGCATGAAGTTTTGGTGGTATAAGGAACATCGAAAAATTTATCTCAATTGATTTTTTGTGTGTTTATTTTTTTTTCTTATATATATTTTGAATTTCAATTTAATAAAATTCTTGAGTCTATCTCTCTACTATCAAATTTGAATATTTTATAAGTGGCCTGCTATCTGCCATTAACATAATCACCGAATAACTTTGTTCATCAAAGACGCTCAAGAAGTTTGAAGAACTCATATGTTGTTTTAGTTAAAATTTTGACAAATAATTATAAAATCTGATCATATAATTACAGAAGTGTATTGAGTTCAATAACGAGAATATAAAAATAAAGTCTAGTTTAAATTTTGAATTTATTGCTAATTATTCTAAATTTAATATGGTTGGAATATATATCATTCACTCTCTTGATGTGAATTAATTAACTTATCAAGAGTCTATAACCACAAGTATATGTAATAGACCCAACCATCCAATTCAATTGATTTTGACATCAAATAATAAATTTCCAACAAATTATTTATCGAACGATATCGTCCACAAATATAGTTGATATAACAGATTGAATTATACTTGCAAAGATTCACAAACTAAGGAATCAAAGTTGCACATATTTCAATTATTTTAAACTTAATAGTATGTGTTTAGCCAAATATATTTTGCAATAATTTCTTCAATATTTCAAATTTTGGCCATATAGTACCAAAACCTGTTTGACGATAATTTATTTTATTTAGTCACAGTTTGAGGCTTTGAGCACGGGGATGAATTGATTGTTTATAAATCGTACAATTTTAATCAAGAAAATGATTGGTCACTTTTGTGTGACTATCAACTTGGATGCTTCATCAAAAGTTCCAGAGTGTAAATTAAAAAAAAGAAGAAAAAAAAAATGAAGTAAGTATCTTTAAGTACTTTCACCTCATATTATTTGTCTTTTATATAAGCTGCTTATTTATTTTAGGGAAAATTAATATTCATACAATCATATTATCACTTATAATTTCGTTATTTGCCGTTTTACATAACAATAACTACTAATAAAATGTAAAATGAGAAAAATAATAATTTTGTTTTAAACTTCAAAAATGATAAATAAATTAAAATAACCATTTTTAAAAATTTCAATAAATAATTTAAGATGGAGAAAATAACAACATATCGTCCTAAATGTAATGTAAGAATTTAACTCTTCTATCATTTTACTATTTTATGCCCTAGGCATGTATACAGTATACCTAATACTCTCTTTGTCCACTATTATTTATCTACTATATTAAATTAGATGGTCAGTTTCAAAAAATTAAAAGATAATTTATCACTTAATTCCTAATTTATTTTTACAATCGATTATAATCAAAAAGTAATATAGTAAACTTATCATTTTACTATATTCAAA